TCTCGGGGCTTGCAGGGCGGTGGTTACTCACAGTGATGCAGGACTTTGCTTTCTCTCCTGCAGCTCCTGCGGCTCCTGCGGCCGGGACCCCTGGTAAGTCCCGACCTAGCTGCCCCTTCCTCTGCCCCAGCACCCCGCCTAGGCAGGGCCAGGAGGGTAACACTCCTCCCCTCCTGCCTTCCTCCCCTCTCCTCTCTTCCCCTCTCCCCTCTTCCCCTCTCCCCTCCTCCCTTCTCCCCTCCTCCGGGGGCCAGGGCCAGGCAGCCGGTGCACATGGGCCGGGACACAGCACAGATATTGTCACAAGAAATCACTGCACCTTCTCTCTCCATCGCCTTCCTCTCGCCAATGCAATCAATCCCATCTAACAGGAGCCCCGGCAATTTCAGTCTCAGCCTCATGTTGATGAAGCTCTGCTTTGTCTGAAGGCTCTGTCTGGAGCCTGGGCAGGAGCAGGAGGGACCCCATGGGCTGAGCTTCTCCCTCTCCCGGGGGCAGGGGCCCTTCCAGGGCCTGAGCCCAGGGCTCCTGCATTGGCCCGGCCTTTCTCCCTCTGCCTGTCCTTCTTTGTGTGGGTATGAGGACAGGCCTGTGCTCGGGGATAAAGAAGGACATGTGGTCAGAACAGAGACCGGGCATCCAATTCTCATGCTGCACCCCCACCACTCCCTTCATTCAGTTCTGAGTCCAGACACCTCCATTTAAAGGGGTGTGTGTGTGTGTGTGTGTGTGTGGTTAGGGTGCTGCAGCTAGGCACCTCTATTTCAAGAGCATGTGCCCTGTGTCCTAGCCCTTTCCTTGCTCTTGAGGCACATGAGCAGGCTTGGCCTTCTCAGATACAGTGGGGCCTTGACTTACGAGTGTCCTGACTAACGAGTTTTTTGAGATACCAGCTGTCTCTCTGCCGATTTTTTGCATTGAGTTGACAGAGTAATTTGAGTTAACGAGCTCCTTAATGAGCTTCTTAATGAGCTTGGTCTCGGAACGAATTAAACTCCTAAGTCAAGGTCCCACTGTAGTTGTGGTCGGTGGCAGGGCCCAGGGCTTCCTGTCTGGGCTCCGAGACCTGCTCCGTCGGCTCCTCACGCTCCTCTCTCTGCCGCCAGGTCTCCCGAAGGCCGTGGTGAGCCTCCAGCCCCCGTGGCTCCAGGTGTTCCCCGGGGACAACGTGACTCTGAGCTGCCAGGGGGCCCACAGCCCTGGGGACAACTCCACCCAGTGGTTCAAGGATGGGACCGCCATCCCCACCCAGGTCCAGCCCAGCTACAGCTTCAAGGCCAGCAAAGTGGTTTCTGCCCAGTCATTTCCCCTCGCACCCCCGCCGCCTTCGCTTCTATGTGGTTCCTCGGAGTATGTGAGGTTGTTCGGCCTCAGTCCTGATTGAGCAAGAAGGTGACAAGGCCACACACAGGCCACCGGGGGTGAGAGAAGCAGCAGGAAACCACAACTTCACAGAACCCCACTTTCCTAGCTGAGGCAGGAGCACAGCTGAGTCCCAGCCGTGGAGCCGTGGGCTCCTTCCCTGAGTCTGTTCCCCCTTTGCTCCGTGGGGTGCTGACCCCAGCAGTCTCACATCCCTGCCCCACCCTCCATGCACTTTCCTCCTGACACAGGGCAGCTCCACTCGAGTTTGCCGACCCAGTGGGCGCTCTCACCCTCCTGGCAAAACGTAGTTCTCCATGCAGAGCGGCTGCTCACACCTGCCCCCTCCCCTCAGCAATCGTCCTCAGAAGCTCCCAGCAGACTCAGCCCAGAGGAAGGCCCAGGGCCTGGCCCCTCCAGGAAGGGGAGAGGCGAGGGGGCCCGCTGAGACAGGCGAGTCCTCACCAACGGCCACACCAGGCCCCAGGACCAGCACAGGAGGTGGATGCCCCCGGGAGGACCCAAGTCCTCCAGCCTGGGGGCCCCAGGGCCCCGAAGATCAGGTCTAGGACTGGGCATTCCAGCAGGGGCAGCTCACATGTCACTGTGTACACAGCCAGTGGGGTGGCTGGGGGGCCTGCCCTCCAGGTCTGCCTAGCAGCAGGCAGCCGTGCCTAGCTCCCTCACAGCAGTAGACCCCCACCCAGGCCTTGCCCACCATTGGCCGCAGCTCCTCAGCCAGTCCTGGGGCGGGAGCTCTCCCAGCCCCACCACTCTGACCCAGTCCGTGCTCCTGGGACCAGCACCTCCCAGCCTCATCCAGGCCGGGCCCACGTGTACCTGAGGCCACAGCTGGGAACCTATGGCAGGTGGACCGGACCCTGGGCTCCCAGCTCATCCAATGCCCTGGCGTAGGCTCAGGCCAGCCCGTGCAGGTGCTCAGCCTCCTGGGGGCCAGCAGTGTGGCTGGGGCAGACGTGGCAGTGGGGAGCTCAGCCCCAGCCCGAGGCTCCCCTGAGAAGGGCCTCGCCCTGTCTTCACCTCCTCTGTCTGCCTCTCCCAGGCCTCTCACCAGGCTCTTGCTGTGGCTCAGCTTCCTCTCGGGCCTCAGGCCAGTCCCTCAACCTCAGTCGAGCTGCAGGAGGTGGCAGGAATAGCACCCCAGAGTCCACGAGTCCAGGTGGAGGGAGCCAGAACCGGGGCATTTGGGTCATTGCCTTCCTCGGGGGCGGGTGTGGGGGAGCCGAGTCAGGAAGGGCACGGGGAGCAGGAGCCCTGCCTGCAGCCACACGGGGATGCAGTGGGACCCGACGCAGGCAGCCCCCTGCGCCACCCACACGCAGGTCCACCCGTTCCCCACTGAGCAGCGGCACCGGCAGCCTCAGGAGAAACAGGCTGGGCTCCAGCACAGCCCGCCCCGTACTGATCCCGCTGGCTGTCCCTCGGCCATCGCCTCCGGTCCCCGCTGCCTTCCACGTGCCTTCTCTGCACCTGCTGGGCCAGTGGTCGGCAAACTCATTAGTCAACAGAGCCAAGTATCAACAGTACAACGATTGAAATTTCTTTTGAGAGCCAAATTTTTTAAACTTAAACTATATAGGTAGGTACCTTGTTATTAACTTAATTAGGGTACTCCTAAGGCTTAGGAAGAGCCACACTCAAGGGGCCAAAGAGCCGCACATGGCTCATGAGCCGCAGTTTGCCGACCACGGTCAGCTGGGCAAACCCCGGCGTGGCTGTTGGGCAGCCGGCTGGCTGAGGAGGAGACACAGAGCTCAGTGCTTGTTGCCCAGACACCTCCAGTAGCTGGAGAGGGAGCGGCCGTTGTCCAGCGGCGATGCTAATACCCCCGCAGCGGGCTGGCAGCCATGCACCCCCCCCACTCCCGCCCCAGCACAGCCCTGGACTAGCCACAGGGCCCAGACAAATGGGTGACTCAAACCTCCACAGGCCACTGGGAAGCCCCGATATCACTCACATCACTGAGGCTTTTGTATCCAAGAAGGAGCAGAGCCTGAGTGGGAAGCTGCTGCAGGCAGGGCTGGGCGGGCTGCGCGAAGCCGGCTGTGGCCTGTGCGCGACTGGCCCGCCTGCCAAGCAGACAGGAGGCGAGTGTCCTGAGTTGTGAGCCATTTCGTGCCTCTGAGAGGTTCTGCTCTGTGAGTTGCACCAGGAGGGACAATGTGAGCTGTGGGCACAGATCTGGCTGAAGAGGAAAAAGTGAGAAAGCTTCAAAAAACCCACCCACCGGGACCTGCTGCAGCGGGGCCGAGGCCCAGGAGAACTCCAGGGGCAGAGAGCCAGGCTTGAAGAACCTGCCCTGGGAACCGT